CCGATCCAAAGTTTAGCCCCGAATGCCCGGAGGCTCACGAATGCCCGCCCTCCCACCCTCTCCTGCCTCCTCCTCCGCTGTCGTCTGGAAGACCCTCTGCTCGCCATGGCTGGAGTTTCCATTGACTCTGCCTCTAGCCTTTAAGCCCCGGATTCTGCCTCGGCCCGTGGACCCGTCGGCTCCACCATGGCTCCTAGCTCCCTCCTCTCCGCCGTGTGCCGGCTCCATCTGCTCCGCCTTGGCCCTCCGGATCTTCCCCATCACCCTGGCTCTTCAGCTGTCCGTCTCGGGCTCCTCCGCTGCCGTTGGTCAGCCCCATGGATTCGGCGGCCATTCCTCCTCCACGGCTCCTCGCTCCGTCGGCTCCACTGTGGGTCGCTGTCATGGTTGTGGCCTGGGTCCTGCTTGGTCCCTCCTTCTCCAAGTCCCTCCTGTCTCCTCCCTCCTTCGTCACCTCCCTGGACTCTGTCTGCCGGCCCCCTCCCAGGTGTCCGTCCTCCTCCTGGGCCGCCTCCCAAGTTCCCACCTGCCCCTCCCCATGTAGTTTCTACGGTGCAAGGACTCGCCTTCCAGGAGGGGGAGTAATGTCAGGATTCTGGACTGTGTCGTGTTTTGCCCCTGTTTCTGTTCCTGTTTGTCCTTATTTGGTCATGTTCCTGTCCTCGTTTAGTTTGATTATTAGTTGATTCCCCGCACCTGTCTATCCATCGTCAAGTCTAGTATATAATGTGTAGTCTGCCTCATGTTTCTTTGTCGGGTCTACTAAGTTGTGTTCGTGTATCATTCCTCGTTCCTTGTTCCTGAGTTGGATTTACCCCTGTGTCTTGGATTTAATAAAGACTATTTCATGTATTCCACGGCTCCGCGTTCCTTCCGGCAGCGATGGTGACAAATGGCTTTTGAAAATTCAGTTTTGCCATCACAGGATAAATTACATTTTAAAATATTTTAAATAGAAATGAAATGAACTTAAAATTGTATATTTAACAATATTTCTGTTTTTGATCAAATAAATGCAGCCTTGGAGATGTTTAGAAAATCATTATAACATCTAACTGACGTAATACTTTTGAATTATCGTGTACACTAGAGTGTGTTCTTTTAGTTATAAATTGGTTCCAATCTATTTCTGCCACTTGAATGATCCTGATTGTATCTGTGTCACGTAAATATTGTTCTGTTTTGTATCAATAATGCTTGTTTGGGGATCAAACATGCCTCCCCAAAAAGGTTGATACAGTCTAACAATTGGACCTCATATGCCAAGTAACAACAATAACGTGTTTTTGTAACAGTTTTTCCTGCCTTTGGCCAAAAGAGACTACATTTTAAATTACTGTGGGACATATTTATTTTTTGGCGTGTTTACAACCAATTTAGTTGCAGTATGAAGCCTGTTATTACACTTCGCATCTGTGTTGTTTGGTCACACTAGATGTGTCCAGAACCCTTGAAAGTGTTCATTTTGTTTGCATGGTTGTGTCACATATGCGAAAACTTGTCCCAATTGAAATTTCTAAGTACAAGCCAAGATGTTTTGGAAAACATTCAAGGTGTTCTGGCAGGATGTGGTGACATGAGAGGCTGCGTCTGTAATGGGATTGTGCACCTGTATGTAGACACTTGAAACGTGCTGGTTTGTTAACAGCATCATAAGTGTGTGTGTGTGTGTAGTCTGGTCCAGAGGCTCATGGCCCCGGGCCCTTTGCTCCCAGGCTGCATACCTGGAGTCAGCAGAATGACAGAGGTGACGATCAGAGAGCAGATGACCAGAATAACAAGCAGTGCAATCGCTATTCCCTTCCAGTTCCTCTGCGGAGGGTTACTTCCCACCAGCTCCTACAGAAAGAGATGGACAAAGAGAGAGAAAGCATGTGAGTCGATGAATGCAAATGGGAGGTTAGTCAAGGACAGTTGTGTGTCAGTGAGCAGCGCCTCCTGGGAAACTGCTGTTGGCCTAAAACAGGTTCTGCCACCATCTCTGTACAAAAAATAATATAAAAAATAATTTAGTGTGACATACAGTACTGTTCAAAAGTTTAGGGATGGTAAGATCTTATGCTCAACTGGGCAGCATTTATGTGATAAGAAATACATTCAACTGAGTAATTATGTGAAATATTATTCAAATTTTTCCAAAAATAAATAAATGTAATTTATTCCTGTGATGGCAAAGCTGAAGTTCAGCATCATTACTCAAGTCTTCAGTGTCACATGATCCTTCAGAAATCAGTTTATTTGCAAAAACAGGTAACTCCATTTTAAATTTTTTAAATTTAAATAACATTTTTCAAAAATCATTTTTTTTATTGTGTTTTATTGTGTTAGTTAGCTGTATTTTTTTAGTTATTTTTATTTAATCAAAATAACCTAACTGCAGTTTGATCAAGATTAATGGGAATGCACAATGAAAAAACATGATTTTTGAAAATTGTTAAAAACTGAGTTATCTTTTATATTAGGGATGCACCGATCCCGATACTGGTATCGGTATCGGCCCCGATACTGAGCTTCTGTACTCGTACTCGTACTCGTTAAAATGCCATACTAACAGCTGTCTAATTTTTTGGTTGATTGTAATCCATTAGGCTACATACCTTTCTATCAAAGTGATCTAACATTATCAAGCTGAATTTGTTCTGACCCAGTTTAAGTTTGAGTTCTTGTCATATTTTATTACCATTTTCTAAACTATAGCGAATAAACTGTGATAATGTGAGAAATGTTGAAGGTGTCTGAATACATTTTGGTTTGACTGTATCTATTTGATAAATGAAGTTAACCAACTAACATTATACATACTATTTTGGTTTCTGTACCCAATATTTAAAAAATGTACAAATGCAATAAAAATATTGGTATCGGTACTCGGTATCGGCAAGTACCAAAAATAAAAGTATCGTATCGGGCGAGTACTGGATAAAGTGGTATCGGTGCATCCCTATTTTATATATATAAATGTTGTAACTGTCACGCCCCTGGACTGTCCTCCCCATGTGCACTCCGTGACCTAGTATTTGTACCCCAGTCTGTGCAGTCTGTCTTTGTCGGGTCTTAATGGTCATGATCGTGTGTCAAAGCAGTTCCTTGTGTGGATTACCCCTTGTGTTTGGATTGCATTAAAGACTGTCACTTTGATCCACATCTCCGTGTCGTCCCTCCAACACAGTTCCTGACAGTAGCATTATAAATTTCTTTACTGTCACTTTTGAGTAATTTAATGCATCCTTGCTGAATAAACGTAGTAATTTCTTTCAATATAATAAAACAATTTTATTAAATTCAACAAATTTACTAAAGACCCTAAATTCTGAATGGTAGTGTGTATGTTGATTTTTTTTTCCCAGCAATGCTGCAAGATTTAGTTGTTCAATAAAGTATAAAGCTCTGAAAAGCTTGAGGGCGTTTTAATTTCTAAAGGCCAGAAAATGCATACATGATTTGTGTTTGCTTCATGTGTTGTGTGTAAGAACTATGTAGAGCAAAAATAACTTTTTTCCAAATGTGAGGGAACTTCACAGATGTTAAGCTTAAAACAAATTTTCTTGCTAAATATTTGGCAGTAGCTATAAATGAAACAAATTTGATAAATTAATGGTAGTACTATCCTCATGAAAACATCAAAATGAGCGTGACAGGAGCTATTTCAAACTAACAATCAATGGGATGTGAATAACAGACACTAAACTCAATAAATCAAACCTGTTTGTTAATTAAAATAGAGAACATTACATCTCTCACTCATACAGATGCTGCCAAAATATAGCAATTACAACAAGCAGACGGTCAGTAGACACAAAGCATTTGAACTTTAAGCAGAATGCATGCAAATAGAGCTGAAAGTAGCATGCAGCTGTGGTCTGTGTTCTCACAGCTGACGTTTTATTGGACTCAACACAGACTAATGGAGTGGAAGTCTAGTGGCGAGGGCGGCATTAAACTCTTTAAGGCCTAAGCTGTTAGTGACCTTGTTCCTGTCCTAATTGAATAGCACAGCAGACATCATTAGCCTGGAGATAACAGTAGCCAGAGCCTGTTTACCGGGACACCCATTACAAGGACTCATTAAAGTCCCTTTCTCTGTCTCTGTCTCTCTCTCTCTCTGTTTCTGTTCTTCAACACTATTTCTCTCTTCCTCTCCAGGGTCACCCAGGCGGACTCTTCCTCTCCGGTATGCAGACGGAGCTACTGAACATGACACGGCATTACAGTGCTAACCACCAGCAGAGCCTTTCACCCTGTTCTGCCCCACATATGCACTCTGAATGACAATAACAGCTGTTTACCCACAATGACCTGCTTCTTAATGATATGAGATACAGGAATGTATTAGTAATGAGCCTGATTAATGCTTAAGTGTGCACACACATAAATGGCAAAGCGCTTACCAGAATCTTAGGCCAAATAGGGGCTGATTATTTATGTTTTTCTTCTTTTCTTCTTCTCTACTGTGTTGTTTCATTTAAATAGTTAAATAAATACATGTAATATATTGCATTAGTACTATGTAATCTACATCACAGCTATTTATGCTTAAATAAGATGCATTTCAGAAATGCTTGACACATACGATTTTAAGCTAATGTGGAAAAAAAATGTGGGGAAATATTTATTTTAAATAGTTATTTTAAACAGTAAAAACATTTAACATTTTTACTGTTTTTGCTGTACTTTGGATCAAATAAATGCAGGCTTGGTGAGCAGAAGGGACTTCTTTAAAAAACATAAAAAATCTTACGGTTCAAAAACTTTTGACTGGTAGTGTATATATATATATATGCATACAGTATAAAGATCAGTAATCTGTATCTGTCACACCCCTGGACTGTTTTTGTTTTGTTTTCTTTCCCCATGTGCTCAGTGTGACCTAGTTTCTGTCTCCCATCGATTATGTCATTTAGTTCACCTGTGTCCTCATTAGTTGATCCTCCTCACCTGTCTGTCCCTCGTTAGCACCCCTATTTTAGTTGTGTTAATTTCACTGTTTGGGGTCCGGTCTACTACGTCTCTACGTGTGCTCCTGCCTGTTCTGTTCTGGATTTACCCTTGTGTGGATTTATTAAAGGCTATTTGCATTTATCTTCAGCTTCTTCGTGCATTTATCTCACCGTAGCGTGAGAGAAGACTGGACTTAGAAATAAAGTGCACGGCGTGTATTCCCGCGTTTTGTTTTTATTATGTTCGACCCTGAGCTCAGCCAGTCATCACCCCACTTCGCGGAGCAGTTAGAGCCCACCGCTGACGGAGAGCCAGAGCCCGCCGCGACCGACAAGCCATCGCCTAGGAGTGCGACAGAGCTGAGGATCGCCCTGGAGTCAGAGCCCTGATCTAGAGCTAGACACGCGACAGTGGAAGTGTCAGTAGGGAGCGAGGGCACAGAGGATAGCCCCGCCCATCGCACCACCGTGAGGGGTGAGCTGAGGTTGCACTCAGAGGACAATAATGTGGATTTATATGCTGATATGCCTTGTCTTCTCCCGCCATCATCATCTGTCTGTCCTGTCGCGACCATGGAGGTCGTGATTGAATCATCTGTCAGTCCTGAAACGACCATGGAGGTCGTATTTGAACTGTCTGTCTACCTGGAACTATCTGTCTGCCCAGAACTGTATGCCTATATTATAACGACCATGGAGGTCGTTCCCCTGTCACTGGCGCTCACGGTGCTGGAAGTGGCCTTATGGTGTGTGGGCAGCACACAGCCCAGCCTCCCTCTCCCACCACCTCTGTACCAGTCCTCACCATCACCACCGCTGTCTCCTGGCAGCCCCTCTGCTCACCCTCAGCCCACCATCTGTGCGGTGGGATCGCCGCGGGTCTGCCAGTCTCCATCGGCGTCATGGCTGGAAGATCTCTTGTCTTGGCTCCACCATGGCTCCTAGCTCCCTCCTCTCCGCCGTGGCCCGTCAATCCATGAGCTCTGCCGGGCTCCCTCGTCCCTCCGGCTCCACCTTGGTCTGTCGTTGATCATCCGCCGCCTCGCGACTCCACTTCTCCGGCTACACCTCGTCCCTCCGGCTCTGTCAGGCTCCTCCTTCCCTCCGGCTCCACCTTGATCCTCTGTCACTCCGGCTCCACCGCGGCCTTCCGGATCCCAAGCCATCTGCTCCGCCTTGGCCCTCCGGATCCTCCCCGTCACCCTGGCTCATCGGCTCTCCATCTCCACCACCACCTGCTCCGCCGCCATCGGTCGGCCCCCTGGAGCCGTCAGCCCTTCATCCACCATAGCTCCCCCCTCCGTCGGCTCCATCGTGGGCCGCCATCATGGCTGTGGCCTGGGTCCCGCCTGGTTCCTCCTGCTCCCTCCAGTCTTCTCCCTGGCTCCTCCCTTCATCTGATCTGCCTTGGTTCTCCCTGTTTCTTCCCAGGCTCCTCCCTCCGTCGTCTCCTCCCTGGACTCTGTCTATCGTCCTTCTCACGGGAGTCCGTCCTCTTCCCAAACCTCCACCTGTGTTGTCTGTCTGCCTTCCTGTCAGCCCTTTGCCATCCACTGTCACCATCCCACATCTGCTCCTTTGTCCTCCTCCTAAGTCCCCCTCTGTCCCTCCCTTTGTTGTTCCTGCGGCGTGAGGTTGCGCCTTCCAGGAGGGGGGCGAACTCACACCCCTGGACTGTTTTTGTTGTGTTTTCTTTCCCCATGTGCTCATTGTGACCTAGTTTCTGTCTCCCGCCGATTGTCATTTAGTTCACCTGTGTCCTCATTATTTGATCCTCCTCACCTGTCTGTCCCTCATTAGTACCCCTATTTTAGTTGTGTTCATTTCATTGTTTGGGGTCGTCCCTACGTGTGCTCCTGCCTGTTCTGTCCTGGATTTACCCTTGTGTGGATTTATTAAATA